TCCCCCTTCTGTTCTGAAATGTGATTTGTCCTTTTCATATGTGTTCACTTTTTTTTTAATTGTATCCTTTGGTATATATGGTTGTGACTATTTTCTTTCACTATTTGATCTGAGGAAGTGGGTCTGGCCCACGAAAGCTCATCATCTAATAAACCATCTTGTTAGTCTTTAAAGTGCTACATAGTCCTGTATTTTGCTATGCAGACAGTGGCACTGATTGAACACACAGAACTGCCAAATGCATAACGTAAATAACAAAGAGCAAAATATATTTTCCACTGATTGCTCATGATCCTAGCACTAGCTGGAGGTAATAGTTAAATACAGTTAGTAAATTAGTAAATTAAATTTTCGGTAGAGATTTGGGATTGAGAGTGGTGGATGCCATTTAAATAATGGTTAATTTCTTGACCTAACTTGAGTTGAGGGGTAGCACGTCTTTTATTTTAGGAGAACAAGAAAAGACCGCAACTTTTTAACTCCTTTTCTTTTCTTACTTTCAGGAAGTGATGCCAGTAGCTATGAAACAGGTATTATGGTAAGCAAGGCTGTGGAAATAACAATTAATGGAAAACTTCTTAAACCTGCAGGTAAGATGGAATGGTGCTGACAATCTAAATTCAGAAGTGTCTCTGTTGTTTCCCATCACAAATGTCCATTAGTAATCTAACTAAACTCATAGAACAGCCTCAGTCTGTCTAAAATTCTTCTCCAAAAGGCTTTTTTAAAATTTTGCTGATGAAAATCTAGCCAAAGATCTGACGCTCTGTGAAGATGTTAGTGAAGATGTCTAGTTGATTAGAAAGATGCCTTAGAGGACGGATGGCTGATCAGAAATACAATTTCTTTTAGTTTATCATCCTCAGAAGTTATACTTTTGTTTTGAATTTTCCTTTTGTTTTAGGATCTTGCCTTTTGTTGTTGTTTCCTTTTCACTTGGTTAAACAGACTTTTTTTCTGGGTTTTTGTTTGTTTGTTTTAGTTGTTGGAATAAAAATTGATGCAATCAACTGGATGGAAAATTTCACCAAAACCACAATCAAGAGCCTGGTAAGGAATATAATTGACTTCTGTTGAACTTCCTTTGCTTTTTCTCTAAGCTCTTAGCACAACCAGTCCTTCCCCCTTCTGTGCAGGCAGCTCTGTATTACAACTTCACAGTGTTGCATGGATGCTAACTGGAGTTGGCATTTCAAGCTTTTTAAAACATGAAATACTTCTATTAAAAAGCAGCTGTATTTTTTTTCAATTTGTCCCTTGTATTCTTGCACTGAAGGCTAGAATATGTCTCAAGACTCAGTAACAACTTGAGAAAGAAAATTTATAATAATGGCATATGTCAGCCACTGGAGTCAATATTGTGTTTTTATAATGAGTCAAAACTCACAGAAAAGCAGGTTGTGGAGTAATCCCTTTAACTGCAAAATATATGAGACAAGAGTTGTTAGACATGGAGAACGTAAAGAATATATCTAACTGCAGACAGACACCCGTGGCTGGCCCATGTTAGTGACTGAGGCTAAGGTTCTGGGGCTGTTTAATTGTGGTGTAGATGTTCAGATCTGGGTCCCTCTGACCTGGCAGGAATTGAATGGGTATTTTTAAAGGAGTTTGCTGAGAGAGAGAGAAAGTTAGTGGCAGCTAGAATGAAAACTAACGGAAGGATCTGGCACACTAGGCAAGGGGAGGGACAAGAAGTAGAGGAGGAGGAAAGAGACTTGATGAACCACAGCTGACGGGAGCACAGACTCATGTTCATGGCATGCTTGTACTGTCAGAGCTGCAGCTTGATTGATGAGTTGAGTGTGGAGAAGCAGCTGTGTCCTCCAACACATGGATATGAGCTGAAGGAAGCTGTTTGAAAATGAGAGAAGGTAGACTTGAGACAAGTATCAGACGGGTAGCCATGTTAGTCTGGATTTGCAAAAGTGACAAGCAGTCCTGTGGCACCTTATAGACTAACAGATGTATTGTAGCATAAGCTTTCGTGGGCAAAGACCATGAGAAGGTAGACTTGTGTCAGTGAGTGTGAAAGAGGCTGCAGTGTGGTCTGGGAACTGAGTAGCCCAAAACACAATATATATATATGAGAGAGAGAGAGAGAGAGAGAAAATGAGCGCTGTCTCCACCAATATTCAAAACACACATAGCTGCATGGGGCACCATGACATTTGGAGCACCAAATTTCACAGTGCACGTGCACCTGAGTGAGGCATATGGACTCCAGTGGCTCTATCCCCACACCCTGGATGCCCCTCAAACCTTGGTGAGCTGTGCCCAGCCCCCGCTCACCAGTCAGCAGTATGAGCACAGGCCAGAGGACTGAGGAGGAGCAGAGGGAAGCTGTGCAGGCAGCAGCAAGAGAGAAGCTGCAGTTTCCCCTTCAAACGCTGTTTCTCTTCAGCCAGCTGCATGGCTGCCCTCTGCTCCTCCGACCCATGCTTGCCACCACTTGCTCTTCCCGTCTGCTCCCCAGAGGCCGTGAGGTGTGCCTCCCACCCTGCCCTGCTCCTGCTATAGTTGCCAGTTCTGACCAGATGGAATGGACACCATTTGTGCCACTGGCATCCTGCCTGGGAGAGTTGGCAATCCTACTCCTGTCCTCCACAAGGTCTGCCACTGCAGTCGCCCAGTCCCTACAGTGTGGATGTGGCCATTCCCCCCTTGCGAGGGGCAGAGGACGGGATGCCAGTACTGGGTGGCATAGGGCATCAGCATTGGTAGGGATATTCCTGGGCAGAAAGCTTCAGAAATGAAAAATGGTGAACCTCCTTGATTTGAGAAGAGAGTTAAAGTGAAACACTGGTTCCTATAGTTTTTCACATATATATGGGTATGTCTACACTACCCTCCTAATTCGAACTAGGAGGGTAATGTAGGCATACCGCACTTGCAAATGAAGCCCGGGATTTGAATTTCCCGGGCTTCATTTGCATAAAGCCGGCCGGCGCCATTTTTAAATGCCGGCAGTTCGAACCCCGTGCCGCACGGCTACACGCGGCATGGAGTAGCTAGTTCGGATTAGGCTTCCTCGTGGAATGAGGAGTACAGCTAGTTTACCTAGTTCGTGCCGCATGTAGCCGCGCGGCACAGGGTTCGAACGAGCAGGGATTTAAAAATGGCGGAGCCCCACTTATGCAAATGAAGCCCGGGAAATTCAAATCCCGGGCTTCATTTGCAAGTGCGGTATGCCTACATTACCCTCCTAGTTCGAATTAGGAGGGTAGTGTAGACATACCCTAGGAGACTAGAATCTATAATTAATTAAATAAATAAACATCTACCCGGAGCAGAGTTTTGCCTCTCAGAGGCAAGTGCAATGTGCTCAGATACCATGGTCACGGGGAGCAGTTTAAACCCTTCAGTAGACATCCAAACACACAGACAACTATGGACATAAAAAACACCTGGGTTTGTCTTGAATCTATTAATTCAACTGCTTATAGTCATGAGTTAATGGACATTGTTTAATAGTACAGACTTTTTAACAAACTATTCCCTAAAATCTTTATCATTCTGTTTTCCAGTGCAACAGTGAACTTTGTGGCTGTGAAAGAAACAGCATGGTAAGAATAAACTTACTAATAGACACCTGGCAGATAGAGGAAATTCCCCTTTGTACTTTGGGAGCTTCAAAACTTGAGACAGGTTTCTGAAGATTAGACAGAGGCCTCTTTGCAAGGAGTTGTCAATCTTTTGTGTCTTGAAAGAGAAGGGAGGATTCTGAAGGAGAGAGGGAGATGCCAGCATGAGAGAATGAAATGAAGTGATAATTAAGGGGATAATTGAAATGACAATGGAAGAACTAAAGGGGAAAGAAGAAGAAGAACATACATAATATGGGACAGAGCAGTAGAAAATAGGGGTCATGAAAAAGACAGCTGAGGAGAGGAAAGATACTGAAGCTTTTCAAAGAAAGAAGTGGAGAGGAAAGAGAGGGAATCAAAAAAGAGACCAAGAAAACAAGAGAAACTGAAGAGAGAGACAAAAAAAGAAGAGGTAAAGGAATGTGAAAAGAAAGAAAGCAAGAACGATGTGCAGTGTTTCATCTACTAAATATCAGATCATAATTAGTTTCTCCTTTGTTTTATTGTATTTCTTTCACAGACATGCTGTACCTTTTAGTGGGAGAGAAGCCTATGTTGTACATGTCTGTTACATGAATATTGCTTCCTAGTTTGGATTCTGTATTATCAAATCAGAGACAAAGAGAGAGAATAACCAAATCCACCATAATGCACCCAGCACCCTCTATCATGTGGGGATAAAGGACTTACACTGTTTTTCTTCCCTCCATTCGGCCCTAGCAGCTCTCCAGAGTGATGATTTCACAGCCTCAAGAACCATAATATTGTCAGCAAATTCGAATTCTGTTATGTACTTAAGCACCATCCTGAATCAGGGCATCTGTGAATTCTTTTCTGGAGTTGGGAGAATGACTGTTGAACTTGGAAGTTATGAATAACTGTAAGAGCCAGGCAGCAGTATCACAACCTTAGTCACTGTGTGCTCTATAGTTAATCAATGGACTTTCTGCCCCCAGCAGAAATTACCTGATACCTGCAGCAGGGATTCACCCATGCCATTGAGACAGTAGCATGCAAAAATGGGCTCTGAGCTCTATGAGTTCCTTAGTTGGAGAAGAAGGGGTTTGCCATCTGAATGGGGGAGGTGGGTGCGTGTAAAAAACAGAGCAAAATAAAGTAAATAATGTAAAATAATTATAGGCAGAAAGCCCAGGTTTGCTGGGTTTTTTTAAAGACTCCCACTGCTAAAAGATGGAAATCAGAAGAGTTTCCACCTATGAGCTAAAATCAAATCAAAAGCGGCAATCCCTTTATCTGAGCTCTGATCCATGTATGAAGAGACTTTGTAAGGAAGTCACACTCTTAGTCTAGTCACACTCTTAAGTCTAGTTAATTAAGCTGAATAAATAATTTACCAAAATAAGTAGCATAAAGTTAAGCCACAAGTGAGTCCTTTGATCTATTTTTTTACAACACTTTGAATTCCAGGGCCATTTGCCTCATATCTTAGAGTCCTGAACATAGTCTCCTCTTCTTATACTCTTTGAATATCAGGTGTAAAGTTATTGCTGGGTGAAAAAATAGGGTCAAGTTACTACAGCAAGGGAAGAATGAGTGTGTGGAGTTCTCCAAAAACTAATGTTTTACCTAAAAACTCAAATCTTGAGAGTTGGAAACTAGGTGAAACATGCAGATTCTTTGTCGCTAAACTGATTCCTATTGAAAAGGGACACTTCCATCCAGACCATGTTGATTTTAAGATATATCTGGAAGGCTGACCATCAGGCTTTCATGAGGGATTGTTTTCTGTATATTTCCTGAAAAAGATCCTTTTTTTTCTTGTAATAGCATGTGGACTGTGTTGTTCTTGATGATGGTGGTTTTCTTTTGATGTCAAATCGGGATGAGTATACCCAGCAGGTATGAATTTTTTTAAATTCAAGTATTTAAAGATGAGATGGATGTGTGTCTCTGTCAAGACAGAGTTTTATCATTTTAAATTACCTGTTAACCAAAGTTCAATATACAAATACAGAGAATGGCTATTATAGAAGTCATTATATTTATTTAAATCACAATTAGCAGAGTTTGAGGCAATGAATCAAAAACTCATGTTTGAACCATAAAGAAAAATTGCTACACTTCAAGTTTCATATAATTTGCTAGCTTTTATCATTATCTTACTAGTGACTTGACATGTCTTGGCCTGTGCTAATGTGGCTCTGGTTATTGTGATTTAAGGGAGTGAATAAGAAATGGGATGGAGAGTTTGCATCATTTCCCTGAGACAGACTGTGTGAAGCATAGAGAATAATGTAGTATGGGTGTTGTATTATAGGGGTATTCTTTGTTAATGTATGAGAAAATGAAGATGTGTTTTTTCTATGAAACAAATCACGTTTTTCCAGTACCTTTGAACACTTATGTAAAAATATATTGGTTCTCAATTATTGAAAATTTCAATTTAATCAAAATACATTTTTATAAAAAAAAATCCCTATGAAAAAATTTCTATCGGATCTAATTCTTACAGTTTAATGAGACTGCAGCATGTTAACATCACTATCATCTTGTCTTGGTGTTATGACATCACAGTGCAACACTGCAGTGCAAATAGCTGCTGTTTGATTATGCACAACTATAGTCAGTTTCATGGTGGAAGGTCAGATTCCTGGAAAGCCTGAGCATGGGAAATTTTGATCTCTGGAGAAGATGATGGTTTCTCCTCAAAGACAGAATTCAGGCATTATATAGAAAAGTACTAAATATGCCATAGAGTTATTTTTGATTGGTTCTACCTTTTTTCAAATAGAAAAATGAGGTAAGCACTATATTGGAGATATCCAAATCTCTTTGTATGCTACCTGCTGATGGGATGAGTACAAACATTAGGGAGAAATGCAAGCGACTATGTAGTCACATCAAGAGTTGAACATTCAAAAAAGTCTTGGGATTTGCATTTAAAAGATTGCCTGCTCAGTCATTTATTCATAGGAAGAAATACCTAAACACTCAGAGTGATAGTGATGTTAAATATGAAGATAGTCAGGTCGATGTCCCACTGAAAAATGGGTCCCTTATGGAGTTTCTAATAAAAGCAGCGAACAAAGCTATGCAGCTGTAAATCAGAGCCAAACTTCCCTTGAAGTCATTTAGAGTTTTGCCTGAGTAGATCTGGAAAAAAATTTATTATTTTATGGAATATAAAGTAAATGCAAAATGAATGCAAAAAAGAAAGACTTTTTGTAATTTATCATCACATACTATTATAAGAATTGTAGGGCTTATATCTTGTTTGATTTCAACAGCATTTTTCAATATATGTAAATTATATGTATGTTGTTTAACATGTGATATCAGTTTAGAAGTGTTTTAACTCCTCTTTTTTTAAATAATTTTCTGTACCAGATTGGAAGATTCTTTGGTGAGATTGACCCTGGCCTGATGCGAAACCTCCTTAACCTGTCCTTATATGCCTTTAACAAGTCTTATGACTATCAGTCTGTGTGTGATCCAGAAGAAGAACCAAAACAAGGAGCTGGCCTTCGTTCTGCATATGTGGTCAGTATCCTCTTGTCACATTAGGAGTATTCCCTTGACAAGTTATCAGTATTCTCCTTACCTATATGTAGATGTTTTACTGATGATGCAATCTTTATATTTCATTTTCTAGCCCACAGTAGCGGATATTTTGCATATTGGCTGGTGGGCCTCTGCAGCCGCTTGGTAAGTTCACGTATTCTGTCAATGTTTATACCAAAGTCATAGTAACAATAAAAAGAAAACATATTTGTCAACAATTTGTCTCTTTTTCCTATGGGGCAATGTACAATAATACTCTTAAATCTTTGGGAGCTGTTCTGGAGTCTTATGTGCTGGTTCTGCAGCCTTATATAGTGAACATTTTTAGTGTCCTCCCACTCCTTGGAAACTTCATTTTATTGATCTTAAATCAAAATGAGACTCCTCAGACTTTGTAATTCTCTGTTCTCAGTCTACACTGAATATGTGTAGGCAGAGAAGTTGGTTTTGGGTTGAATCGTTTTAAATCTTGGTTGCTGGTGTACAGATTTCAGGTTTACTCGTTGGATTCATAATTCAGCACACACATTCTTCTTTTTCAAGTGCATGATGAAATGAGCAGGTTGAGGAAGTTTTCGAGAAGTCGGTGAACCATGTTGTTAGGCACAAAACAACATAATTCTGGGAAAACATAATTCTTATTTCAGAACACCAGATATACTTAAAAATCATTGTTTGATAGTGAGAGTTTTGAGTTTGACTTCAGTGGAGTCAGGATTTCATCTCATAGCCATTTCAGTGGTTTACAATCTTCAGGTAAACACAGGACAAAATAAGCCTTGAAACTGATCTAACTTCATAACAAAGAATTGTCTCATTTTGGAATTAAATCTATGAAGTAATCAGCAATAGCCACAAAAAATATTTTGTTAGTTTCATAATGTGTATATATAATGAAATTCAGCCCTGTAAAGATTAAGCATCTTGTCATAGCAAAGCCATGCAGCAAAGATTTAATTAGGACTTCAGTGTTTTGATGTGTAAGCCTTCTGCAGTGGTGTGAAGTTTTACCCTCTGTGACTATCTGTTCTTCATGATCAAATTTTGTGGAGCATATTCTGTAGCACAGCGGTAGGTAATTTACTCTATTTGGAGGTAAGCATTGCAATATATCACAGCTGAACAAATATATAGAGAGCAGTTATCTCACAAATGGTACTAAGATGACTTTGGACAATTGTTTTCATTATTGGTTACATTTAGTTAAGAGGAACAGTTAAGATCTTTGTTTTCTGGAACAAAAAAATGAACCTCAAAAATAAAGATGGGAAATGATCCAGGGATGTAACCTAAGCTTTGCTCAAACAGAGAAATGTGCCTTATCAGTGTTCCAATCAAACTCAAAGGTCTGGACTCAATTTAGACTTGTGGCTTGTTTTCCACAGGGTTTCGCTTGAAAGCACCATAAGAAAGTGCTTTTATTAGACATTTTTTAAATGGAATCTAGGCCACAAACAGACTGGAGAAGGCCATTAGGGAAGTGGAGTAGAAAGGGCTGATCAGAGAGCATTTCAGCAAGGCAGCAAGTGAAAGCAAATGCAGAGAAATAGGAGACGCTGGGATAAGGTTAACTATTGTGTTTCGGGCAAAAATGTGACTAGGATAGTGAGTGACAACTTTCAAAGCTTAATTGGGGAGCATGAGGATTCAGTTAACTAAGTTTCCTCTATACTCTTGGAACTTTGAGGGTCTTCCCCATTTTTCCAAGTTTCCTCTTTTTCTCATCAGCAGAGAGTTACTTGATCACTTTCTTCTAACCTAAAACGAGCTAGATGAGGGCTTCCCTTTGGGGTCAGCCAGCGTAGTCACTATTGAATGCCACGAGGTTTCTCTTCATCCCTGTAGACAAGTGCTCAGTCTATGCAACAAACTCAGTCCTGATGTTATGTAAATAAACCCAGTGTTGGATGCAGTATTGCAGCGCTTTAGCCACAGAAATAACTGGCGGATATATTTTCTTTAAAAACTATCTTAAGCTATGGAAGAAGCAGACTAAAGGGTCATCAAAACTGGTGTTAATGAGAGCAGAGCATATGAGGGAATAAGGTGCCACAATAAGAGATTGAGACAGATTCAGTGGCAGGAGTAGGGCCTTGTAGTTTAAAGTTAATGAAGAAAAGGATGGGCGGAGAGGATTCAAAGAGGGGAAGTGAGGATGAAAGGTCTGTAATGTGGTTGTGATAGGAAGAGTTGGGTAATGTGAATATTAGGAAAACCAGAAAAGAGGAGATTGCAATAACTGGGATGCAATAATTGAAATAGGAGGGATGTGGGCATGAATGCAGAAAATGAATAGTTTACCATTATTCGTGTTAAGCTTTATTTTTCCAGCATCAAGTAAGAAATGACAAGGACGTGCTGCAATGCAGCAGTGAAGATAGCAATAAAAGTCACCAGCACAGAGAGAATTTTTACGTGACATAGTTAGACTAGTGTAGCATTTATCTGCCTCACAGACATGTTGTGAGATTTAATCAGTGTAAAATGCCTGAAGCCCCTTGGAGCTATATATGACTCTTGTCATTTAAGGCAGCCTAGTTGGTTTAAATGTGAGAGGACTCCCAGGATTCCTGTTTCACATTCTGCAGAGATATTAAAGAATGACAAACTGCTCTTCAGCATCTCTCCTAGCAGAATTATGGGTAAGAGGGGCAGTGGATATTAACTGTCAAAATATAATATGGGACAGTAACTGGAAGGGGAAGAAGAAAATGACAGAGAAAATGTAACATATTAGAGAAACACATTCCTATTATTTGGCATAAGTGCATTTAACATGTGTTGTTGCTGGTTTTATTAACAATTATATCCCAGCAATCAGGGCTCCCTTATTAGCACAGCTATGTTCCAAGTAGAGGAAAATGATGGTTCCTTTAACAAAAGTGTATTTTCTATGCTCAGGTCTATCTTGCAACAACTGTTTTTGGGCCTGACTTTTCCACGATTTCTTGAGGCAGGTAAGTCAACACTCATATTTATGAAAGAGATAGTCTTGAATGAATTAGAAGAAAAGAATTCAGATACCAACCAAATGCTGCTCACTACACTATATATGTTGTGAATGTTTCTGTTTTTTCTTTCTCATAAGTGGAAATGGATGATGATGATTACACTGTTGCCCTATCCAAACAGAGCTGCATTACTGAGCAAACTCAGTATTTCTTTGGAAATGATGATAAATCCTTCAGTGGGATTGTAGACTGTATAAACTGTTCCAGGTAAGTTTTCATCTTCAAATACAGAATGTAAAGAGAAGCCTTTTTTGTGCATATTAATCTTAGAAGTCAGTAATTACCTTACTGTATTAAGGATAAACTATACTGTGTCATAACTATATCACATGTATGTAAGAATGGTAAAGGTATACATGCAAGTGGTCAGTGCAATAATATACACTAGAATGTATATTACATGTTAGCATAGACTGGAACAGTAATAGTGCACTGAATTATTTTACCCCAACTTGTGTTTTTCTCTTTTATGGGACTATCTCCATATATATTTTAATAGGATAATTGGTGTTTAATAGTTTTTATTCTTAATTGTTTTCACTGTATTTTTTCTAATTTACTATTTGAAATTCTTGAGTTCTATTACAGATTTTCAGAACAGAGATGTTTCTGTGCATCCTTGTACATAATGTTAAAATGTTAATAGTCTTTTCATGTTTTGCCTTGAGTTGCTGCTGCTTTCGTTAAAGAGGTTACAATCTCAGTATAGTTTTGTGAGACTTGAAAATTTCTTCCATACCAAGTTATTAAATTGCCATAGAATGAACATGCATCCTAAAAGAGGAGCCCTTTGAATACCTTTGTATAAACATTGTTAATTCAGTTTAAAATTCCTAAACAAACATTAAGCTACAAATGGATAAAAGAGGACATCTAGGCTGTGTTATGGCACAGCATGGGTGTGGCACAACTGATGTAAGTGTCAAGGTAAGAAGGGATCACCAGCACAGGGTACCTGACCCTGTATTAAATGAAACATTGCTATGCAGCAACCCGATTACTCCTTTGCATTAACAGGAGAGCGGGAAACGCAGCGCTAAATACCTCCCTAGCATAACAAGAAATTCATTTAAACCCTTCTCTCCTCCCATTCCACTTTGTTCAGGTCTTTTTGGTTGTGGTTTGTGTGTGCGTGTTGTTTTTCTTTATCTGACACTCTTAAGAATAAGGAAGGGTTTCAAGTCTTGGTTCCTCCACTTCCTGCCTAAAAGTATACTTATTGCTTCTCTTTATATATTCCCACATGTAGCCTCTGCTCATCCTTCCCTTGAAATGTAATAACCTTACATACAATAGAGTGGCTCATGCCAGAGTCTACAAGGACAAGGCCTCATAGTTATTAGCACTATTTGAAACTGCTGGAGACAACAAAACTTCTATAAACAGCTAAGCCTTGAGGAATTCATAGCAAATGTTTCATAGGGGATTTCAGTCCAGCAAAGTGCACACTAAGAATTGGACACAATCACAGTACAGGGTCAAATACTGAATTTCATAAAGGGTGGGATGGTGTTGTTATGGGCACAAACAGTGCAATCCTCAGAAATTCTCCTTCACTGATTTAATCAGAAAAGATGTGACCCCCTAAAATGACCAACTAGTGTGAATGAGTCATTTGTAAGATTACAGATGACCTGAAGGAGCTGTTGGGTCAAATACAGACAGTGGGACAAACTCCACTAAGGTCAGGGAAGTTTGTTCCACATACACCAATAGATACATTTTGCCTGTTTTTGTTAGATATGTGAAAAAGTGACAGGAAGCCAGTTTACAAATAAAATGCTTCTCTAAATTCAGAACAACATGAAAGCTTTTCTTCGGCAATTAGAAAATATTTTCTTTGTCACTAAGGATGTAAAAATGCTTGAGAAAACACTAGCACTTAACCAATTAACTTAGGGCCTAACTCCCGACCTGATTCTGCCATATGGTTCCACTGTAGCCACAGGGTCTTGCCACCTGGTCCTTCAGACCCTTTGTATCCAGGGCTGCTCTGGCCCAGCCCAGCTGGCCATCATCGGCATTAACCGGCAATGGCCAATTAACCAGCTAAGCAATAAGCATAGTGGTAAGCCTCCTGCTGGCTGACATGTTTACTGGTAACTGGTCCATTCAACATCCCTATTTGTCACTGTTTTTTTTTTTTATTTCTCAGCTCACCTGGATGTTTATCCATCTAGCTGTCTAAATATACTGTAAAAGATTTTTTCTTATTTCTCAGCTCACCTGGACGTTTATCCATCTAGCTGTCTAAATATACTGTAAAAACACCTGATAATAAGCCATGAAAATGCAGTAATATTCTTCACTACATATGAAGTTTCCTATCTCATTTAGAGCGGCTTTTCTTTTCAAACCTCATTGGCAGTAGAGAAATTGTAGCTGAACTGGTTTCCCTTCTTAGAGGAGTTACTGATTTAGCACCATGCAACTAGCTGTCTAGTGGTATATGGTCATTCTGCCCTTTTTCTGTTTTTTAATCACAGCATTCGCTCTAATGTGGATCAATCCATCAATAAAGATTACAAAATTTTCCTTTGAATGGTCCTTGCTGTTCTTAAAAAAAAAAAAAAAAAAAAAAAAGCTGTCCCCTATATAGACAATCTATAAAGTTGTGATATCTGTGATCTCATTAGTGAATGTAAAAAGCCAAAAAGCCTCTGAAGATAACCTGTAGCCTTTTTTTTAACTGGAATTTTGTTTCTTTTCCAGACTTTATCATGCAGAAAAGGTTTCAAACACCAATCTAGTGTTTATAATTAGTGACAGCCAACTGATGTGCCGCTCCTGTGACCCAAAGCCATTGATGCAAGCAGAAAAGCCGGGTATCCTTGAAAGTCAGAACTTCTAGTGACATAAACTGATGTTTGTTGACCAAATCCTAGAACAGGATATGGAGAAACATCGTCTATTTATATTCATTTCTTTGACACACATCACTTTAGTATTTGAATCATCAGATGATTATCAATTGGATTTTGTATAGAACAAAACATAGAACGGTCTCTGAAGGAATCATTTCAAGTTTGCTAAGATTTTTATTTTTACATATATTTGATAAGCTGGTCTTAATACCTGTTCCGAGCCTTTGTTACCAGGCAAAATCACCTGAAGCCTGAACACTGGAATGACTCGTCAGTAGGTCAGGGCAGGCATCACTGCTCTATGTAGTGGCTTGTTGTCATAATTTCCTGGTGTTATTGTAGCTTCCTGGAACCAGGGTGTTCTGCGGAGAACCAGAAGGTTCATCCCAAGCCCCACAGTTTGTCACAGAAGTTGGTGACTGACCTGAAGCAAGAGAATGGGGCAAGGCTAGGGTTGCTAGATGGTTTAACCAAAAATATTGACCCCCCCCCCCAAAAAAAAAAACCGGGGAAAAAATTCTCTTGAGGGAAAAAAAAAGACCAAAGTTGTTGAGCAAAAAAAAAAAAAGGACTGCTGGTGGCCATCCACCATCTTGTCTTCCTGCTCTGGGCCAGCCAGCTCCCCTACAGACCCAGGTAAGCACCTGGTATTTTTGCCTCCTAGCCAGGAAAAAATCAGAAAATACTGGAGATTTTAGATGTCCGGTATTTTCTGAATTTTTTTACCAGACAGAAGGTGAAAATACCTGGCAACCCTAGGTAGGGCAGAGCTTCACGGTTACATGTTACCTGAGGTGCTGAGGACCATTAAGCACGTATCACATGCTAGTTTCCCTCCCCTCAATACAGGGACAGTCTAAAGAAGTGAAAAGCTCCTTTTGGGGTGTATTGGGTGCGCTGGGGTCTGCAGCCATTTTGAATAGAGCTGATAGTATAAAGAGAATGCCTCTGCTGAAACATAACACAGAAAGCAGAGCCCAAAACAGGGATAATGGGGCCAGGACCCTCCAATTACTGTACTGCTAGTGTGGCGAGGTTTTGCAGGATGCAGGAGCAGCAGCTGTCAATAGGTCCCTGTGCGGGGGTTGGAGCTATTCTGGCCATATAGTATCTCTGTCTGCCTCCAAGGGGGCTTCTTTATAGAGGACAAGAAGCAGAGAGGAATACAAGGAAAGCATAGACTGGAGCCCTGCAGTAGTATTGGATCACAGTGCAATACTGTGTTGTAGTTGGATTGGATAGGCTCCAATAATTTGTGGGAAACACCAGCTCTCTTGTTGGCGTGTTGTAAATAGAGTTTCAGTAATGTAAAGCAAGTTTTTCATTTAAAAAAAAATTAAGGTTTTAATACTTACATTTAAGCAATAGATAGAAAGAGATTTGATGTCTGTTATACCAGGAGTTAAAGTATATTTACAGGGTTAAAGCAAGATTAGTTTTATGATTTTAGTGGTAAAAGGATACAGTGCCGGCTAGGTATGTCAGCATGTAGATGGATATACGATTAACCTATAAGCCTAGGCTTATTGGTTAATCTTCTTGACTACATGCATTGCCTGCCCCTCCACCCCCGCCCAGCCACTGCATCAGAGGCAGAAGAGGGTTGGGAGCCATTGCCCACGAGGAGCTGACTTAAAAGCTAGCTCCCCACAACTTCTGGATCCGCCTGCTCCCACTCATCCCACACTCCTGCCTCTGATAGCGAGGCGGCAGGCTGGAGCCAATACATGCAGGGAGCCAGCTTTCAAGCTAGTTCCATGCATGCATCGTGTCCTACAGAACCATCTGCCCCCCATCGCTTGTATGGGGGGAGGCAGGAGCCAGTGCTGTGGGGAGCCAGATTAAAAGCGCAATGGAGGCGGGTGGGGAGCTGGTTTTTAAAATGGCTCCACAGGCAGATCAGCTCCTGCCTGTCGCCCCACGCTGCTGCCTCTGTATCGGAGGCAGCAGTGAGGAGTGGCAGCAGCTCCTGTCCATGGGGGGTCCAAGCTCCCCATGGACAGGGGCTGCTGGTGCAAAGCAGCCTCCGTGTGCAGCAGGCCCAGGCTTACCATGGACAAAGGCAGGATGGCAGCAGCAAGGATGGCAAGGGGCTCCCCGGGAATAGGGCTGCAAGTGCACTGGCTGCCAGTCCTGCCCCCAGGGTCTATTGAATAATCGTGTAACCACTAAGATTTAATGTGGTTACATGACTATTCAATTACACGATATCTAACATCCCTACTGCTGGGCCCGTCCAAGCTCCCTGCTCCCAGGCTGCTGCACCCAACTCTGCTGCCAACCCTGCCTGGGCTCCCTGTCCCTGGGATGCTGGCCTGTCTCCACTGGCAGCCCTCGCCATGCTCCAGCTACCAAACCCTCTGCGCTGGACTCCCAGCTGGTGCCCGCTCCCAGCTGCTAGGACTTTCTAATCTAGGGGCTCTGTGGTCCATCAACATCTGGGTCCTGAGGGACAACAGATGCTGCCAGACCAGAGAGTCCTGACCCTTTTGTTTGGTTGGTTTTTGTTTTTGTTTTTTTAGTCTCTCTCTCTCTCTCGGGATTTTCAGGACCCAAAGTTTTTTCCAGCTGGGAGCAAGATAAAAATGCAAGAAACAATGCAGGAATGGGAAGGGTTTTTTTTTTTTTTTTTTTTTTTTTCCAAAAATACCACACAGGACTTGACTATAGAGCTTTTGTACAAGTTGCCTCCCGCCTTCAGGCCACTATTCTGAATTATATCAGCTTTTCTCCTGCTGTCTGTGGGCTGTTAAAGACTATGGCTGCTCCTTCTCATCTCCCTCCCTGGTAAATAATCCCAGCCACAGTGACACAAGCAGCATCGGCAGCACATACTGTGCCAGAGCAATTCTCCTTGTACGCTTCTTTGGCCTTTAAGTACACAGAAGAGGCCTTCCGGCACTGAGCTGGGAGCCAAAATCTGACTGCTTAACATAGACTGTAGAAAAATATAGTGGCTAAAAAACATATTCCTGACATGCAGGGAAAAGAGAGATTAGCAAATCCTAATTTTAAAAAATTGCTTCTCCTATATCAGATGGTAAAGCTCCTTATGGTGGAGATGATGGAAATCCCTTGGCAAAATATCAATACATATTTAATATACATTAAATATCACATTAATTATGACTGAAAATCTGTTGGCCCTTCAGATGAAAGGGAGGGTTACACCAGTGGAAGCAGCATTTGTAGCATAGTAGCGCCCTGTAAATGTAGGTTGCTACCCTGACCAACTTAGCTCCATGTCAGCTTGATTAATTGTGGTTACGGTCTACAGGTTGCGTACAAGGCCTTATTAAAGGGAATGTAACAAGAAATGGTGTAACTTTCCCAAGGGGCACTTTGCAAGTCCAGGGGCAGTGGATGACAACTTCAACAGCTGGCCTGGCTAACTTTTCACTAAAGGAATTGCTGTACGTAATTTTGACCTGAGCATCACTAAGCCAAGCTTTCTTTTTGCAACATGGGTCCATTGTGAATTGCAGATGTAGCATGACAACACCCAGATGGGAAGTGCTCTTCCTCTGTAGGTGTCTATTAAGTGTTGCTTGCTGTAATCTGGTAGGATATGCCAATGTAGATGGCCTTTTACATATTATCATCCCTGTTTCTAGCTCTCCCTCCTCCCATAACCTAAATCTTATCACCTGTACACCACCCTGGCGTCGATGGGTAGATGGATCCTGCTAGGATGTGAATTAGGGAAGAAATTGACCATATATTGTCTTTTCACTTACATTTTTTTAACATTTTAAGTTTAGGACCAAATCCCATGTTATCTTGGATCCTGACCACAGTAAATTAGGTTGTGCCCTGTCTTGCATTGGGACAGTGGTAATGACTTTAAAGTCTAGTTATAATAACATTTTCTCTAATGGTGTAAAAGGAATGCCTTGAGTGCAAGAGAGCTCAGATAAAACCTGCAAAGGCCCTAATATGTTTTAAAGCATTAGATTTTTTTTTTAAAAAAAAACCTAAACTAACATGGAAGTCCTATTCCTGTTTCTGCCATTGACATGATGTGCGATCCTGACTTCGCCATTTTGTCTGTTTTCTCTTGCACTCTAAAGCTGAAATCCTAAGAAAAAAACTTTGTCCTTTATTATGGGCTAGTCTACAATGAAAAATTACACAGCTACATCTCTCAGGAGTCTGAAAATCCCTCCCCCGAGAGAAAATAGTTAAGACAATCTAAGCTGTTACATAGACAAGAATTATTCCATTGACCTAGATACCACTTTTTGGAGAGATGGATTAACTGTAATGAAACATTCTGTTTTTAGATTGCTTATTTTTCCCGTGCATAGTCTTGCAGTGTGTATCTTTATTACCACGATTAGGAACACTAGAAGGTTATCTTTCAAGTCACAGAATGATAGGACTGGAAGAGGGACCTCAAGAGGTCATCTAATCAAGTGCTCTGTGCTCATGACAGGACTAAGTATTATATAGATCATCCATGACATGTGTTTGTTTCACATGCTCTTAAAATCTACAAAGATAGATATTCTATAACTTTCCTGTGCAATTTATTCCAGTGCTTAACTGTTCCAATAGTTAGGAAGTTTTTTGTAATGGTCAACCTAAACCTCTCTTGCTGCAATTTAAACCCATTGCATCTTGTCTGATCATCAGAGATTAAGAAGAAGAAAATGTACTCCTCGTTGTAACCTTTTATATACGCGAAAACTGTTATGTCCTCTGACAGTTGTCTCTTCTTCAGATTAAACAAATACGGTTTTCTCAGTCTTTCCTCATAGGTCATGTTTTCTAGACCTTTAATCATTTTTGTTGTTCTTCTCTGGACTTTTTCCAATTGGTCCGCATCTTTCCTGAAATGTGATGCCCAGAACTGGACACAATATGGAAGAATTACTACTGGTGGCTTACTTACAAAACTCTTGCTAATACATTCCACAGTGATGTTTGCTTTTTTTTTAAACATTGTGACACTGTTCAATCATATTTACCTCATGATCCACAATGTGCCCCAAATCACATTCCTCAGTACTACTATTTAGGCAGTCATTTCCCATTTTGTATGTGTGCAACTGGTTGTCCCTTTCTAAGTGGAATACTTTTCAATTTTCCTTAGTGAATTTCATCCTATTTGCCTCTGACCATTTCTCCAGTTTGTCCAACTCATTTTGAATTTTAATCTAATCCTTCAAAGCACTTGCAACCCCAGCCATCTTAGTACCATACACAACATTTATCAGTGCTCTCTGTGCTGTTATCTAAATCATTGAAGATGATATTGAACCGAACAAGAACTGATCCCTGCAGACCCCCCTTAACACGTTCTTCCAGCTTCACTGTGAATTACTGATAACTCTTTTCTGGGGACAGTTTTCTAGCCAGTTATGCACCCACATTATAGTAGCTCCATCTAGATTGCATTCCCTTAGCTTGTTTATGAAAAGGTCATGCAAGGCTGTATCAAAAGCCTTGCTCAAGTCAAAACAAAGTACGTTTGATCTGTATTAATGTCATTTTCTTTAATAAGGAACAGTAACAGTGGGCCGTTAATGTGATGCAACCAACATCATCATAAAGCCATAGCTGCCAAAGTATCTGTCATGGACGAGGCCATAAGTATTTGGCCCTGCTTACGCTGTGTTTGATAGTAAAAATGAAATTAAAATGTTGCTGCTGTTAATGTGTTGTACATGAAAAAAGAATGCTACATTCCTTAGCTAAAGTTTAGATGAAGGTCCAAATCCTTGTGAAATGGTGAAGCAACCAAGATACAGAAAGGGTCCTGATGTCTGCTTTGACAAAGATGATGGGGTAAGATTGAACTCTTAAGGACGTAAGACTCTAAAATAGAGTCTTTCCATGTGAAAGCAGTTATAGGTGATATTTCAGAACAACAATAAAATCTGTGTTTTAGTGGATCTGACAGCTCATGACATAACCTATCTCTCTTTTAACATACTATTTGTTCTGAACCATAATCAATTTATTTCAAATGTCCTATTATTAACATTAAATTAACAGTTGCTTTTTTTAGCCGCTTTTATTGTAAGCACTGCACTTTCACACATGATTCCTGGAGTAGTAATAAGCCAAGAAACCTAGTTTTCCGCACATGGTGGTGCCAAAGACAATTCCTCCATGGCTCTGGCAAGCATTCATTATTTCTGAATACTGAAAAGATACTCAGGACCAGGTTTTTAAAGGCAGGTAGGCAAAGAAATGCCTTTAAAAATCTGGACCTTACAGAATGCTATTTTTATATGTCATTCCTCATAGGAATACTAGGAATATGTGTCTTAATGTGTATTGACACTGTGTGCCAGGTTCTCAGCTCATGTATATCTGCATATTTCCACTGAAGTCAACTGATTTTCACCAGCAGAAGACCTTGCCTTCTGTGTCCACAATTTTCACTTTTTCATTTTTAAAGATTAGAGCCAAAGACAAATCATTTCTTTAGGAAAGGAAAAATAGAGGGATAATTTTTAGAAGGGTAACCGTGCTAGTCTGTATCTGCAAAAACAATGAGGAATCCTGTGGCATCTTAGGGTATGTCTGCACTGCCACCCTAGTTCAAACTAGGGTAGCTAATGTAGACATTCGAATTTGCAAATGCAGCCCAGGATTTAAATATCCCGGGCTTTATTTGATTGTTCCCAGGCTCCGCCATTTTTAAATGCCCCGTATTTCGAACTCCCTGCCCGCGGTTACATGCGGCATGGGCTAGGTAGTTTGAATTAAAGCTCCTAATTCGAACTACTGTTACTCCTCCTGCAATGGCGGTGCCTGGGAACATGCAAATAAAGCCCGGGATATTTAAATCCTGGGCTGCATTTGCAATTTCGAATGCCTACATTAGCCACCCTAGTTCAAACTAGGGTGGCAGTGTAGACATACACATAGAGACATGGTCAGAAATATGATATATTGGGACATAAGATTTCATGGGTAAAATCCATTTCATCAAATGACTTGGGGTGTGTCTAAACTACAGGGTTTTTTCAAAAAAAGTAGCCTTTTTTCGAAAAACTTCAACTGCTTCTAGACTACAGCCGCATTCTTTCGAAAGTAAATCAAAAGAACGCAGCAGTTTTTTTCAGTGGCAGTAAACCTCATTCTACAAGGAATAATGCCTTTTTTTTGAAATTACTCTTTCGAAAAAAGGCGCTATTGAATGCAAACTGTGCTTTTTCGAAAGAGAGCATCTAGAGAAAGCGGCTCACTTTTTCAAAAAATCTGCTTGTAGTCTAGACACTCTCTTTCGAAAGAGGCTTGTAGTCTAGATGTCATCTTGGAGTGGGAGTTAAAGAAGCAGAAGTATATATAAGGGAGAAGTTGCTTGTGTTAATGGAACTAATCAAGTCAGGGTAGAAGTGGGTCATTCGCAGCAGTTGTTGTGGAGATGTGAATATCCAGAAAGGGAAAATTGCCTTTTTAATGTGTTAACCAATTGAAGGACTTATTCAGTCCTAAGTTATAGTCTTGAATTTGCAAATGAATTCCCATTCATCTGTTTTCCTTTGTAACCGTTTTTTGAAATTCTTTTGTAGAGGAATGGCTACTTTCAATCCATTACTGAATGACCCGGGAATTTAAAATGTTCCCCTACAGGTTTATATGAATTACCATTCCTGACATCTGATTTGTGTCCTTTGGTGTTGAGACTTTCCAGTTTGTCCAATAAACATGGCAAAGGGACACTGCTGGCACTTGATGGAACATATTGCGTTAGTGAATGTGCAGGGGGACGAACACCTGATGGTGTGGTTTAGGTACTTATTTGCTGTGATGATGTTGCTTGTATAGTAACACACATGAACCTGTATTTTACAGCATTTGACTCCAAAACTGCAGATTTCATATTTTTAGAAACTATTTTTATACCTGTCAAGGCTGATTCCCCACTCTGACATGATGAATGCAGAAGTGGGGGCCCATAAAAGTACCCCAAAACCTTATCTTTCCAGGCTTTGGTATAAAACTCCTCCCCCCCAAAAAAACTAGATTTTGGGGGATAAAAATTTGCTGCCACCATCAAGTGCTTTTGAACCCACAAATGGGTGGACACTTGAAACCAACCCCAAGGTACCCCAAGCTCTTTTCTCCAAAGAGCTTGAAAAAGAAAGATAAAATATAAACTTTAGTCTGTGGCTGCTGTCCCCTCAAAGGCATGCAGATCCCACAGACAGATTTTCCAGGACACAGAACTTAACCAATACCAGGTTAATAAAAAAGAAAAAACTTTTATTCTCAAAACAATACTCCTGTTGCAAGCATGACTAGTTGGAAAAAGTCACCAATTAATATACTCATGGGGACTCCCATGGGCTCAGGACTTAGTCACAAAAGGGAGAGAAACCCATTTCTAACAGCACAGACATCAGATCCAAAGTCCCACAACAGAAAACAATAAAACCTAACAGATTTATCTAAACTTTACTCTACTTACACATTATGAAAAGTCTTTTTCTTAGAGAGAGACATGTCTTCCGTCTCCCTCAGTATCTAGAGCAAACTGGCCCAGAGACAAAAGAGGGAAAAACCCAAAAATTCCTTTGTCTCAGTTTGAAAATCCCTATCTGAATTTTTATTAGCTGACTGCTACCTGGCTAGGTACAGTTAACCCTTTAGTCCCCAGGCTGCTGGCCATCCCTCATGACCATGACAACACCAAGTGAGTTTATACCTGTGACAGGTTTTCCTAGCTTGCAGGATACAATTTAGTAGTAATTTTTTACTTTTTGAGGAAATATTCATTGCTTGGAATTGAATACCTTTCTGCATTCCTAAACGTGTGCCATGACCTTATTTACTAGCCACATCTTTCGAGGACTTATTTTCAACCAACAGGACTAGATAAATGGTTTTGTCAAAGCAATTGCAAGTACCACTGTTTGACTCTGCTTGATATAGCTTAATCCGCGCTGCTCTTTAAGCAGATGTCATGCCTCAGATGTTCATTATGGTTACACAAGCCTAAGCCTTGGGAGTGAATGCATTTTCTTTGAAGCCCACGTGTTCACAAAGTCTCCTGTAAAAAACTGTCGTTTTGATCAGTGGATGTAAAACAATTGGCTTCTACAGGGACTGAAAAAGTGTCCTAAATGCATGAACTTTTCTAACAGATATCGATCCAAGTGTTGTGTGTGAAAGTAAAACTCTTGCTCACTAGCTTGATGTGCAATTGGTGTGTAAGTCGTGTGTTCTCTGTAACAGCAGAATATTTTGTTTAAGTTTATTTGCAGTACTCACTATGAGTCTCTTGCTCTTGGGTGGATGCTTTCACATTAATTCTGCTAACTGCCAGCAAACTGCATGAAATCTCATCTTGTATGTCTTTTTTTCTGTGTTTTCTTTCCTTTCCTCTACTTGCTACTTTGCCCGTTATTAATAGGATCAGCCTATATGCACAACGAGTCGTGCCTCTGCCATGATGTCTTCTCCTATCTTCATTTTTCTGCAAGTTTTCATATGGTGTGGATGGTCAGTTACTTTCTCTAATTTTTTGGTTTAGTTTGGTTTGGTTCTTTGCATAAAAAGTGGCTTTTTTTTTTACTAACTAGCAAATGAAAGAAAATGGAACAAAATGGGTCCCCAAAACAGTAATTTGGAACAAATTCCTGTAACAATTTAAGGGACAATTACAAATTCAAAGAGCTCTGCCCAAAGCTTTTTAAGTCTTCACCCTGGAATCAGGAACCAGTCAGCTTTGTAGGCTGCAATATCTGGCCTTCTATTCATATTGCTGTCATTCCCTTCCTTACTGGTCCTTCAGAATGTTTATTGTTTCCTGTGTTCCTGGTAAAGATGAAAAGGAGGAGGAGGAAGACATCTAGGACAAAATTCTCCATAGTAATAAGCAGAGGTATAAAGTAGTTGGAGGAGATTCTAGTTCCTGCAAAACTAATACTATGCATGGCACAGCATAACTGAATGCTGTCTTTAGGATTTGCAAAAATAATTGCTGTGGAGAACATATGGGGAAATTCATAGTGTTGCCAAATCCAGACAGAGGTTGATGATCAAAATACTAAGACTAATTGTTTGTTTTTAGGAATGAAAAAAAAAAAGTTTTCTTTTTAAAGATGAATATCCAGTAAAACAGTGCCATTGGCTAGTAAAGACCAATGAGAACTTTGCTTCTAATAGTAATGTGGATGTACATTTCAGAGCACGAGATTCAGCGCTATAATTCTAGAATACTAGTGTATGGAGACATCAGATTCATAAAGAAAGCTGAGTCTTTCCATGTTATGTTTACTGGAAAGTCTGAGCTACCATCATTGCTGCTAGTATAGCAAATGATCTGAGAATCATTATCAGAAAGCATATTCCTTGCGCAGTAGAAGTGTGTCAGAATATAACAGTATTGGTATACATTCTCAGGAGACCACTAGAGGGAGATGCTACCATGACTATTATTGAAAAGCTAACAAATAAAATCATTATATTATATTGTGATGGGAATTATTGCAATGTTAAAATATAGTGTATATGTGTATATATTCAATCTCTTTCCAAATGTTCTAAATACATTGTAAGATATGTTTTGGATAAAACTTTTTTGAAGGGTTAAGTACATAGATTTGTGTTGCTAGGGTAATATTTATAACCAGGTAAAAAAATAAAACAAGTCAGTTGTAAGAGTTCGTCTTCTTTACTGTGTTCAGTATTGGAAAAAGCTAAATCACTTGGACACAATGAAAAAAAAACCTTCATGCTTAGCTTCATAGCTATATGGGAGACTTTTGAGCTTCGTAAATTGTATTAAATAGTCTCATGACTAACAAACATAGAAGCTGAATTGGTGCAATTGAAGACTGGGAGGAGTTAATTACAGTTTCTCTCCAACACTAGTCCCATGTAATATGTGAAGATCAGATCTTTACTCATATTGAGTAGTTCCTTTCTCTACAAGTAGCTTTGCTGAAATCAAGTAAGGTTCTGATCATATATAGGATTCTGACTGCAAATTTAAGTGCTAAGGTCCCAATTCCTTGTTCAGGAAGTCAATCCAAAACACCTATGGAAGCAAGCCCTTAAAGCACGACTTTAACAGGTGTGTTCTCAGCAGCAGCAGATGGAAACTGGGCAAGTAGCAAAGTCAGACTCTTATTTGGTGTAAATCAGCTAATTAATAACATTAATATTTTGTAATATGAAATTAAATTTAGCTATAGTCTGCTTCTTAATGGGTACAAACAAGTGTTTATGCATTCCTTTGACAGTCCTGTTCCCAATAGATTTTGATACTTTGATTTTGATGACTGTTAACGTGAAGATACTGAATTAAAATGGTACTATATAGTCAGAAAATAAGCCTGCCTAAAGATATTATAGTAGGACTTCCTAATTGGAGAAAATAGTGTTTGGATTTGACTCTCTTCCCACTCT